TTTTGAACGATGTACTAAAAGGAAACAAAAACTAAACTTTAGACATGATTTTGAAAAAATTAAAAGTTTAAATACTAAAATAGATAAAAGCTTATATTTTAAGTATTAAACACATAATTTACCCAAGTTTTTGTACTAAACCTAAAATTAAATAAAGGAAAATATCACAATTCACATACCCAAAAAAGGGGGAAATTCCTATAAGTTTTGATCTGTTTTAGTACCTTAACTTTTATTTATTTTCAAAAAGTTACTTAAGATTTTATTTTTATTTCATTTTAGTACCTTTCGTTAAAAACTTAACACATTTAATATTTAAGCTATCAGTTTTTGCACGTTCTAATACTTAAGCTGTCAAAAAAAGTTCAAAACATAACATTAAATTTTGAACAATGATACTAAAATGAAACAAAAACTAAACTTTAGATATGATTTTGAAAAAATTAAAAGTTTAAATACTAAAATATATAAAAGCTTATATTTTAAGTATTAAACACGTAATTTACCCAAGTTTTTGAACTAAACCTAAAATTAAATAAAGAAAAATATCACAATTCACATACCCAAAAAAGGGGGAAATTCAAATAAGTTTCGATCTGTTTTAGTACCTTAACTTTTATTTATTTTCAAAAAGTTACTTAAGATTTTATTTTTATTTCATTTTAGTACCTTTCGTTAAAAACTTAACACGTTTAATATTTAAACTATCAGTTTTTGCACGTTCTAGTACTTAAGCTTTCAAAAAAAAATCAAAACATAACATTAAATTTTGAACAATAATACTAAAATGAAACAAAAACTAAACTTTAGATATGACTTTGAAAAAATTAAAAGTTTAAATACTAAAATAGATAAAAGCTTATATTTTAAGTATTAAACACGTAATTTATCCAAGTTTTTGTACTAAACCTAAAATTAAATAAAGAAAAATATCACAATTCACATACCCAAAAAAGGGGGAAATTCCTATAAGTTTTGATCTGTTTTATTACCTTAACTTTTATTTATTTTTGAAAAGTTACTTAAGATTTTATTTTTATTTCATTTTAGTACATTTCGTTAAAAACTTAACACGTTTAGTATTTAAACTATCAGTTTGTGCACGTTCTAGTACTTAAGCTTTCAAAAACAAATTCCAAACATAACATTAAATTTTGAACAATGTACTAAAATGAAACAAAAACTAAACTTTAGACATGATTTTGAAAAAATTAAAAGTTTAAATACTAAAATAGATAAAAGCTTATATTTTAAGTATTAAACACAGAATTTACCCAAGTTTTTGTACTAAATCTAAAATTAAATAAAGAAAAATATCACAATTCACATACCCAAAAAAGGGGGAAATTCCTATAAGTTTTGATCTGTTTTAGTACCTTAACTTTTATTTATTTTCAAACAGTTACTTAAGATTTTATTTTTATTTCATTTTAGTACCTTTCGTTAAAAACTTAACACGTTTAATATTTAAACTATCAGTTTTTGCACGTTCTAATACTTAAGCTTCCAAAAAAAATTCAAAACATAACATTGAATTTTGAACAATAATACTATAATGAAACAAAAACTAAACTTTAGATATGATTTTGAAAAAATTAAAAGTTTAAATACTAAAATATATAAAAGCTTATATTTTAAGTATTAAACACGTAATTTACCCAAGTTTTTGAACTAAACCTAAAATTAAATAAAGAAAAATATCACAATTCACATACCCAAAAAAGGGGGAAATTCATATAAGTTTCAATCTGTTTTAGTATCTTAACTTTTATTTTTTTTCAAAAAGTTACTTAAGATTTTATTTTTATTTCATTTTAGTATCTTTCGTTAAAAACTTAACACGTTTAATATTTAAACTATCAGTTTTTGCACGTTCTAGTACTTAAGCTTTCAAAAAAAAAATCAAAACATAACATTAAATTTTGAACAATAATACTAAAATGAAACAAAAACTAAACTTTAGATATGACTTTGAAAAAATTAAAAGTTTAAATACTAAAATAGATAAAAGCTTATATTTTAAGTATTAAACACGTAATTTATCCAAGTTTTTGTACTAAACCTAAAATTAAATAAAGAAAAATATCACAATTCACATACCCAAAAAAGGGGGAAATTCCTATAAGTTTTGATCTGTTTTATTACCTTAACTTTTATTTATTTTCGAAAAGTTACTTAAGATTTTATTTTTATTTCATTTTAGTACATTTCGTTAAAACCTTAACACGTTTAGTTTTTAAACTATCAGTTTGTGCACGTTTTAGTACTTAAGCTTTCAAAAACAAATTCCAAACATAACATTAAATTTTGAACAATGTATTAAAATGAAACAAAAACTAAACTTTAGACATGATTTTGAAAAAATTAAAAGTTTAAATACTAAAATAGATAAAAGCTTATATTTTAAGTATTAAACACATAATTTACCCAAGTTTTTGTACTAAATCTAAAATTAAATAAAGAAAAATATCACAATTCACATACCCAAAAAAGGGGGAAATTCCTATAAGTTTTGATCTGTTTTAGTACCTTAACTTTTATTTATTTTCAAACAGTTACTTAAGATTTTATTTTTATTTCATTTTAGTACCTTTCGTTAAAAACTTAACACGTTTAATATTTAAGCTATCAGTTTTTGCACGTTCTAATACTTAAGCTTTCAAAAAAAAAATCAAAACATAACATTAAATTTTGAACAATAATACTAAAATGAAACAAAAACTAAACTTTAGATATGACTTTGAAAAAATTAAAAGTTTAAATACTAAAATAGATAAAACCTTATATTTTAAGTATTAAACACGTAATTTATCCAAGTTTTTGTACTAAACCTAAAATTAAATAAAGAAAAATATCACAATTCACATACCCAAAAAAGGGGGAAATTCCTATAAGTTTCAATCTGTTTTAGTATCTTAACTTTTATTTTTTTTCAAAAAGTTACTTAAGATTTTATTTTTATTTCATTTTAGTATCTTTCGTTAAAAACTTAACACGTTTAATATTTAAACTATCAGTTTTTGCACGTTCTAGTACTTAAGCTTTCAAAAAAAATCAAAACATAACATTAAATTTTGAACAATAATACTAAAATGAAACAAAAACTAAACTTTAGATATGACTTTGAAAAAATTAAAAGTTTAAATACTAAAATAGATAAAAGCTTATATTTTAAGTATTAAACACGTAATTTATCCAAGTTTTTGTACTAAACCTAAAATTAAATAAAGAAAAATATCACAATTCACATACCCAAAAAAGGGGGAAATTCCTATAAGTTTTGATCTGTTTTATTACCTCAACTTTTATTTATTTTCGAAAAGTTACTTAAGATTTTATTTTTATTTCATTTTAGTACATTTCGTTAAAAACTTAACACGTTTAGTATTTAAACTATCAGTTTGTGCACGTTCTAGTACTTAAGCTTTCAAAAACAAATTCCAAACATAACATTAAATTTTGAACAATGTACTAAAATGAAACAAAAACTAAACTTTAGACATGATTTTGAAAAAATTAAAAGTTTAAATACTAAAATAGATAAAAGCTTATATTTTAAGTATTAAACACATAATTTACCCAAGTTTTTGTACTAAATCTAAAATTAAATAAAGAAAAATATCACAATTCACATACCCAAAAAAGGGAGAAATTCCTATAAGTTTTGATCTATTTTAGTACCTTAACTTTTATTTATTTTCAAACAGTTACTTAAGATTTTATTTTTATTTCATTTTAGTACCTTTCGTTAAAAACTTAACACGTTTAATATTTAAGCTATTAGTTTTTGCACGTTCTAATACTTAAGCTTTCAAAAAAAATTCAAAACATAACATTAAATTTTGAACAATAATACTATAATGAAACAAAAACTAAACTTTAGATATGATTTTGAAAAAATTAAAAGTTTAAATACTAAAATATATAAAAGCTTATATTTTAAGTATTAAACACGTAATTTACCCAAGTTTTTGAACTAAACCTAAAATTAAATAAAGAAAAATATCACAATTCACATACCCAAAAAAGGGGGAAATTCATATAAGTTTCAATCTGTTTTAGTATCTTAACTTTTATTTTTTTTTCAAAAAGTTACTTAAGATTTTATTTTTATTTCATTTTAGTACCTTTCGTTAAAAACTTAACACGTTTAATATTTAAACTATCAGTTTTTGCACGTTCTAGTACTTAAGCTTTCAAAAAAAAATCAAAACATAACATTAAATTTTGAACAATAATACTAAAGTGAAACAAAAACTAAACTTTAGATATGACTTTGAAAAAATTAAAAGTTTAAATACTAAAATAGATAAAAGTTTATATTTTAAGTATTAAACACGTAATTTACCCAAGTTTTTGTACTAAACCTAAAATTAAATAAAGAAAAATCTCACAATTCACATACCCAAAAAAGGGGAAATTCATATAAGTTTTGATCTGTTTTAGTACCTTAATTTTTATTTTTTTTTTCAAAAAGTTACTTAAGATTTTATTTTTATTTCATTTTAGTACATTTCGTTAAAAACTTAACACATTTAATATTTAAGCTATAAGTTTTTGCACATTCTAATACTTAAGCTTTCAAAAATATTCAAAACATAACATTAAATTTTGAACAAAGATACTAAAATGAAACAAAAACTAAACTTTAGACATGATTTTAAAAAATTAAAAGTTTAAATACTAAAATAGATAAAAGCTTATAATTTAAATATTAAATACGTAACTTACCTAAAGTTTTGTACTAAACCTAAAATTAAATAAAGAAAAATATCACAATTCACATAAGGGGGGTTTTTCCTAAAATTTAAAAGCGCCGCATAGTGGCACCGCACAACATTCGCGTAGGAACTATTTTCGTATGTGAATTTAATTATTTTTTAAAATTAAATTTAATACAGGAAAAGACGAAACAATCCGAGTTGCCGACATATCCCGCTATATAATCCAACTCAATTCAAACTCGACCCGTTGTCCATAATCATTATCAAAAGGAAGGAAAAAAAACTATAAAAATATCTCACGAGACACAACCGGACTCGCTCCCTCGTTCCGCTAACTCAGCCCTATGGAGATCGCCCCCGCGTCTCCTCCGCCTCCGCCGGGCGTTGAAATCCCCGGTTCATCTACAGATGCCGTTGTGGAAGACAGCATGAAGCCGTCTCCATCAATATCTTCCACATCGTCAGAGAAGGAAGAAAAAGGGTCGTCATCGATGTCGTTCGGGGCGTCGGCGAAGTATGGTGCGGAGATGGAGGAGGAGGAGGAGGAAGACGTTTGCAGGATCTGCCGGAACCCGGGCGATGCGGAGAACCCCCTTCGATACCCTTGCGCGTGTAGCGGCAGTATCAAATTTGTCCACCAGGATTGTCTTCTTCAATGGCTGAATCACAGTAATGCTCGACAATGCGAGGTTAGGTTCTTTTTTATAATAATTTTTTCGTTGATGACTGTTCCCCCCCCCCCCGTAAATTAGCTTAATTTAAGTTAGGGTTTTTGGTTTATTTTTATTAAATTTCATGATTTGATTTTTGATTTGGGTATGGATATATGACAATTAAAAATAAAAGGTGATTAGAAATTATGACAATTTTGCCTTCGTTATAATTCTTTTACGAAGAATTTCATTGAAGTTGCAAATCTTGGCAGCTTTCGATTGTTGGAGTAATGACAATTTGATGAAGAACATTTATTTTCTAATGACTCTCATGGTTTCGTACACAACCATTCTATTTGACTAATACATGATCAAAGGCATAAAAGTAATTGTGCTAGAGATTAGTCTTGGGTTTAAAATGCTTAAAATGTCATGCACAAGAGACAGGTTCGTTGATCTTGAATGGTTTCAGTTTTCATGTTGTGATTATGGCTTCTCATGAATTCTTACTTTTGTATGTCATTTCATATTATTGCCAATGTGTGTGTGAGTTCTCTTTCTCTATCTCTTGATTATGTTTCTCTATTTATGTCTCTGCATCTCTACCTTCCTCTCTTGTCATATTTTTTTTTTTCTTTTAACTTGTGCTTGAAAAGATTCTTCATGATCTCTCTCTCTCTCTCTCTCTTTCTGTGTCCTCTTTTTTTTTTATTAGTTTTGAAAAATATTTTTTCCAGAAGGTAGATTTATGATTTTAATGCTTGAACTATGCTCGACTTTCTTTGCAGGTTTGCAAGCATGCTTTTTCTTTCTCTCCTGTGTACGCTGAGAATGCTCCAGCAAGGCTTCCTTTTCAGGAGTTTGTGGTTGGGATGGCAATGAAAGCTTGTCATGTTCTGCAGTTCTTTTTGCGCCTTAGTTTTGTACTTTCAGTTTGGCTCCTCATTATACCTTTCATTACCTTTTGGATATGGCGGTTGGCTTTCGTCCGGAGTTTTGGTGAAGCTCAGAGTTTATTCGTTAGCCATATTTCAACCACAATCATTCTTACTGATTGCTTGCATGGGTTCCTACTTTCTGCTAGCATTGTGTTCATTTTTCTTGGAGCTACTTCTTTGAGGGATTATTTCCGGCATTTGCGAGAGCTCGGAGGAGATGCTGAGAGAGAAGATGAAGGGGATAGGAATGGTGTTCGTGCTGCTAGGCGACCCCCGGGACAAGTTAATAGGAATTTAGCTGGTGATGGTAATGGTGAAGATGCTGGTGGAGCACAAGGTATTGGTGGAGCTGGCCAATTGATCAGAAGGAATGCTGAAAATGTAGCTGCTCGTTGGGAAATGCAAGCAGCTCGTCTTGAAGCTCATGTTGAACAGATGTTTGATGGCCTGGATGATGCAGATGGCGCCGAAGATGTACCTTTTGATGAGCTTGTTGGCATGCAGGGTCCTGTTTTCCATTTGGTTGAGAATGCATTCACTGTAAGTCTCTTTGATTGTTTCAATTGCATTACCTAATCATCTATCCTTGACTTGTAATTGACATTTTCTTACTAGTGCTTGGCTTGACTTTTTGTTGGGGATTTTCTTAGGAACCTTTAGGTGCTGAGACTAGTTTATCACCGTATCTCATCCTCAAAACAAAGGAATTTTTGTGTGATTTCTTTTTGTGAATGTGTTGAGTGGCGTAGATTCTTACTAAGTTATTTGATAAGACTTGCACTTTAGGACTTCATTGATTTGAGTGATAAATCATGATTAATTTTCAGCATTTTTTTGATTGGATGTCTGATGGTTGCGTCTTTGCTATATTTTTAATGGAGGAAACTTTATCCTGAATCTTCTTTTGTTTTAAAGAGACATTTTTGTCTCTGTTGTCCTTCCTCCAAAAGTTTCCACTTCCAAAATACAGACACTAGAGGCCATTGTATGATTTTATAGTTTTATGCATTATTTTGGCTCTAATTATAATCTTATATTCTATTCCTGATCCTTTACTTGGTACTACTTTGAATTGCATGATGTCAGAAGGAACTCTCAGTTTCTTCTATGCATATAATTTCCTTAATTTTTATCTACATATGTTATTACTATGTTTTCTTTTGAACCTTCTTCTTTAAACTTTTAATTAAACCCTTTATTCTTTAAAGTCCAAATTGTAACAATTTGCAATAGAATGGATACTCATAAATTGCAATTTTTTAACCTTTTCTCTGATCAACACAATATTCTTTCATGACTTGATTTTCCATTCTTCTGCAGGTTCTAGCGAGCAATATGATATTCCTTGGTGTTGTAATATTTGTGCCTTTCTCTATAGGCCGTATTATTCTCTATTATTTATCCTGGCTTTTCTCTTCTGCAAGTGGCCCGGTGCTGTCAGTAGTCATGCCACTGACAGATACTGCCCTTTCCTTGGCAAACATCACATTAAAGAACACATTAACTGCTGTTACAAATTTGACATCTGAAGGCCAAGGTCAGGCTGTAGAAATGTTGAAAGCAAACTCTACTGGAGTCTCTGAAGTCTCAAGCAACACAAGTGCATCATTTTCAGAAGATCTTTTGAAAGGAGTAACTCTTGGATCATCAAGGCTTTCTGATGTTACAACTCTTGCTATTGGTTACATGTTTATATTCTCCTTAGTCTTCTTCTACCTTGGTATTGTCACTTTGATTAGGTACACTAGGGGTGAGCCTTTGACAATGGGGAGGTTCTATGGAATTGCCTCACTAGCCGAGACAATACCATCCCTCTTCAGGCAGTTCTTGGCGGCAATGAGTCATTTGATGACAATGATTAAGGTTGCTTTCTTGCTTGTAATTGAACTTGGGGTGTTCCCTTTGATGTGTGGGTGGTGGCTAGATGTATGTACAATAAGGATGTTTGGGAAATCGATGTCTCAAAGAGTTCAATTCTTCTCAGTTTCACCTTTAGCAAGCTCATTGATACATTGGGTTGTAGGAATTGTGTACATGCTCCAAATAAGCATCTTTGTTAGCCTTCTTCGAGGGGTAATGCTCTTTTCCATCCTATGTTATTAAGTGTTCATTTGGAACCTGCTTTCAGATTGTAGCATGAGTTGATAATATCATTTTGTTGTGGGCAGGTTTTACGTAATGGGGTTCTATACTTCCTTCGAGACCCAGCCGATCCAAACTACAATCCCTTCCGTGATTTAATTGATGACCCTGTACACAAGCACGCTAGGAGGGTCTTGTTATCAGTTGCAGTTTATGGGAGTTTAATTGTGATGCTGGTATTTTTGCCAGTTAAGCTTTCTATGAGGATGGCTCCTTCTATTTTTCCACTCGATATATTGTAAGATTAGCTCATACCGTTTCTGATTGCTTTACTTATTAATATGTAATGTTAGATTATATTTAACTGATTTGCTTGTTGCAGGGTATCAGACCCATTTACTGAGATTCCAGCTGACATGCTTCTCTTTCAAATATGCATTCCATTTGCCGTTGAGCATTTTAAATTGCGGACAACAATCAAGTCTCTTCTGCGCTATTGGTTTACTGCAGTTGGATGGGCATTAGGCTTAACGGACTTCTTACTTCCCAGACCGGAGGAGAATGGTGGCCAAGAAAATGTCAATGTGGAACCAGGACAACAGGATAGACTACAGATCATGCAAATAGGTGGACAGGAACAGGCCATGGTTGCATTTGAGGCTGATGATGATCCCAATAGAGGCCTCCTGGCATCAGGGAACTCTAATGCTGTGGAATTTGATGGGGATGAGCAAACTGATTCAGAGTAAGTTATATTGGTCTTTTTATAGACAATATTGATGTGTTCGATTTAATTGTGGTCTTCATTTGTTTGATGATATATATGCATGCACCTCTGCAATAAGATTTGAAATATGTGATCAGAATTTGTAGGTTTTACTTGCACTACTAACATAAAAAAATCAATGAATTTGCAATTGTACGTTATTATTGAATAGGCTGCGGTGTTCAATGTCAACATAATGTTTTCTTTGTTGCTTTTCACCTTCACTTGCTACATTTTGTTAGTCTGATATCATTGTTTGTTGTTTGCTGGCTATTTTTCATCCATGAATTTTTAGCAGGTACAGTTTTGTTCTTCGCATTGTCCTGTTATTGGTCATTGCTTGGATGACTTTGCTTGTATTCAACTCTGCCTTGATAGTAGTACCAATATCATTTGGACGAGCTCTATTCAATGCAATTCCTCTTCTCCCAATAACTCACGGCATTAAGTGCAATGGTAATGCACTTTGATTCCCCCCCCCCCCCAAAAAAAAAAAAAAACAAAAGAACTCTCCAATTATAATTTTTGTGCTAATTGGTCCAAGTTTTGTTTTTCATTTTAGACCTTTATGCTTTTGTCATTGGAAGCTATTTCATTTGGACTGCCCTGGCTGGGGCTAGATACTACATTGAGCACATAAGAACAAAGAGGGCTTCAGTTCTGTTAGGCCAAATCTGGAAGTGGGGTGTCATTGTCATCAAGAGCTCCTTGCTCTTATCAATATGGGTAAGTCATCTGTAATCCGGGCTTTTTGCTTGTTTCAAAGTCTCCTATCTGACTTATAAATCCTTATTGGTGTTGTAATGTCCAGATTTTTGTCATTCCTGTTCTTATTGGCCTACTTTTTGAGCTTTTGGTGATTGTGCCGATGCGGGTGCCTGTGGATGAGAGTCCAGTTTTCCTCCTCTACCAAGATTGGGCGTTGGGTCTCATTTTTCTGAAGATATGGACTAAACTGGTAAGTGTCGAACTACAGTTTATTATATACAGAGGAAAATAGTGACATGTTTTAGGATTTTGCAATAAAGATCTCTGAGGATGTTATTCCGTGATACCACGGCCAAAACTTGATCTCTTATATCCACAGGTTATGCTGGACCATATGATGCCATTAGTAGATGAAAGCTGGCGAATGAAATTCGAAAGGGTGAGGGAAGATGGCTTCTCCAGACTGCAGGGCCTTTGGGTATTGCGGGAGATTGTGTTCCCCATTATAATGAAGCTGCTGACAGCATTGTGTTTACCTTACGTATTAGCCCGAGGGGTGTTTCCCGTGCTCGGCTACCCATTAGTGGTAAACTCGGCAGTCTACCGGTTCGCATGGCTAGGATGCCTCTGCTTCAGCTTGTTGTGCTTCTGTGCCAAGAGGTTCCATGTCTGGTTCACTAACCTCCACAACTCCATAAGGGACGACAGATACCTCATCGGTCGTCGACTTCATAACTTTGGGGAAGACTTGGAACAGAAGCAAAGCGAGGCAAGAACCTCATCTGAAGCACTGGCTTCTGATCTGCAGGCCACTGGAATAATCCGGCAGCCCGACCATGATGCTGATGTTGGGTTGAGACTGAGGCGTGTTAATTAAAAACATGCGTCCAATGAAACCGGTGTTAGGGAGCTTTTTAGAAGCCTGTATGAAATGGATTTTCAGATATATGATTTTGAGAAGATGGTATCCAACTTTGGTAGGTAGTGTTTTGTGCATAGAATACGTGTTAACTTGGTTATTAGGGTTTGTCCTAAATTTCACCAGCTTAGAAAAGCAGCAAACAAATTACCACTTTATTTGTTTATTTCAACTCTTGAATTTATGATTCAGAGCCACTCGAACTTGCACATGTAAAATACTCAATATTACTATAATAATGCATGTAAAAACTCATGTTTGGTCATTAAATTTGTGGTTCCACTTTGGCACTAGAATCAGAATCAACTCAGGAACATCCCTCAAAAGCAAGTGAAAACAGACCAATGAAATTTAAAAGTAAGTTTGTAAATCATAATGGTTGTAAATCAAAGCCAGCTAATCGCCCCCTAGTCAACCGAACTTCATTCAGACTCAAGGGACAAGGTTGTCGTTTAATGATAGTGAAGCTAGTTGATTGGCAGCACCACCGGCCTGCTGCTGAGCTACGGTCCTCAGAACCTCCATTGCTTCTGCAACTTTGGCTTTTAGAGCTTCGGGTGACTCGAGCAAGTGCAAAACCTCGGTCTTATCCATCTCCAGAAGCATCCCGGTTACTTTAGCCGCTGCATCGGGCTCCAGCTGCTCAACCAGTGGATAGAGATTCTCCCCCAGCATCTACATGTTGACCGGCTTAAGACAATTTCAGTTAACCAGAAAAATTCATGTGATGCATCTTCAGAAACTTGCATAGAACCTTTTTTAAAAATGATGTATAGCAAACACGGCAATTATTCAATAGAATTTTTAGACCTCGTCTTTACTGAAGCGTGTGTGTACATTAATGTGCGAATTTATTACGGTAAATATTCAACATGGTTTTTGTAATTAACCCTTTTTACATGGAATAAGTGTATTCTGTTATACTTTTGACGGCACCAATATGCAGAAAAAGAAGTAAAATAAATAAAGCGAGGCAGTACATAGTACATACCGTTCTTTGCTGATCTGGAGTATCATTTGCAAGAACTGAGGTCAAATCACCAAGCGGAATTGGCTGAGAAAGTGGTGCATCACGCATTGGCATGCCACTCGTATCATATGGAACAGAAAGCATGCCTCCAGCAACATTAGGCATTGAAACATCAGGTAGACCAAGCCCTGGTGGATAGCGATAGGCCCACCCTCGGGGTAGCATCTGATATTTTAGTGAGCCATCAGACAAAGTATTTACAGATACAAACATACGCATCCAAGATATTGAAGCAAACCTAGTGCTGCATTAAAGGAGCTGGTTGCTGGTTTTGCTGAACAGACCCAGCTCTTCTTCCACCAGGACGCTGACCCTGCTGGCCTTGCTGAACCATCGGTACGAAGAAATTAGGCATGGGAGCCCCACCAGGTCTCAAACCCGGAACAAGCTGCTGCTGATAGCCAAATCCAGGCTGAAAGAAGAGAGCCACAAACAAGACTGTAATTTTCTAAAGCACATGTTATAGAATAATACTAATTGACTAATTCGGTAGGTTAAAAAATACATCATACGACTACCAATGACAAGAAATAAAATGCATATACAAATAGTTACCTGGGGAGGGAACATCGGAGGCGCTTGACCATAGAATATTTGCTGCCCAAGGCCTGGACCGCCAGGTGGGTACATTGGCATTCGAGGTCCAACTGGAGGTGCCATTGCAAGTGGTCGCATTTGAGAAAATTGAGCCTGTAAATATGTGGCATATACCTTAGCTTACTAAAGAATTAAAACCCTCCTTGTTTGTGCCACCACAGTTTAGTACTGCAGAAAAAAAGAAAAACACACCTGCAACCTGGCTCTCCTATCTTCCTTCCTTTGAGCTTGAGCAACATAGAGAGGTTTGTAGGCAACCATTTTGCCATTCATATCCGCAAGCTGTTATAACAAGAATTAGATTATGTTGCACGGTAACTCGGTAAGACTATATGGGCGTAGGCATAACATTATAAACGTACAGCTTTAGATGCTTCTTCTGGAGTTGAAAATGCAACGAACCCTGATCCTTTAATTATCCCATTAGGGTCTCGCATAACCTGTTACATTTAATGATAGGGTCAGCTAACCGAGTGTATCCACTGAACTTGACTATTCCATTCAGAGGAGTGAAGTTCAGCAGTTCCAATGCCCTTGCAGCTTCAAGTAAACAAAATAGGATGCCATCCAGAATAACTTAACACCCTTATCGTATGATCGAGAAAAGTAAACATGGCGGATGTTGTCGAGTAGGGATGGATGTAAAATTTTATACGAGATGATGAAATTTCAAAGTTTTAAAGGAGATAAATCTACAAAATTTTAAGAGACCAAAATAGGTTGTTAATGAAAATATAAAATTATATCTAAAATATTTAAAGACTTCATTTAGTGAGCCTATTAAAAAGAGGGCAAGAGCAGGTTAGCTTCATCATTAATGCCATTGAAGTAAATCTACCAAGACTTTTTGTGTCTAAAATATTAATGTTTACCGTCCTAAACTTTTAGGGTAATCTACGCTTTTCATCAGCTAATTTTGATTATGCTCTTGTTTTGATTATTAAATTTTAAAAAATTAAATTTCATCATTTAATTTTCGGATTGTTATGTTGTCTTAAAAAACAATATGGTACGGTGGTCTATTTCTGCTTAAATCACAGTGGAATTGAGATGTATTATTCACTCCTCCTTCCCTACCTTCTTACTATTGAAATTTAAAAAAAATGCTCAAACGTTAGAAAATTCAAGAAATTTAGATAAAAAATTTTGAAGGAGGATTTAGGTTTATTTTACAACTCTAAAAGATAGATTCTTATCATAATGTTGCTAATAAGTAATGAGGGAATGATAGAGTTAAGGTAAATTATATATTTAGTACTTAAATTATTAGTTTTGACCTGTTTTAATACCTAAATTTTCAATTTTTTTTAAATCATATCTAATGTTTATTTTCATTTCATTTGAGTACCCCGCCGTTAAAAATTTAATTTATTCAATACCTAAACTTTCAATCTTTTCAAAACTAAACGTTAAATTTTGAACGGAGGTACTCAAATGAAACAAAAACTAAAGTTTTTAACTGCGGGTCCTAACATGAAACAAAAACTAAACTTTATGTATGATTTTGAAAAAATGAAAGTTTAGGTATTAAACTAGACCAAAATTGATAATTTATGTATTAAATGCATAATTTATCCTAAAAGATTATGTTAAAATTGAATGATTAAATTGAAAGTTTTTCAAATTTAATTTATTAAAATAAAAATATAATCAAAATTAAGTGATGAATTTTCTAATTTTACACAAACATTTATTGGACATATCATTTAACAGGACATCCCTCTACGTAATCAATCAATTGTTATGGGCAAAGAGATTTAGCGGTTCATATGTAAAGAACCGTGACGACTTTGAAAACCCCCCAAAATCTCCTCTTTTCGGACCTTTCAGACCATCATAAAATTTTGAGGGACTAATTTAAATTTATAAAATTTTGAGGGACTAATTTAAATTTATAAAAAAATTAAAATATAAGGTCCCTCACCTGCTCCCTAAGTCCATCCTTGAGACCATCTATGTGTGGTCTTTAAATCCAACACCAAACTGTGTTCTTCTTGAACAACAAGGCAACTCACTGACTCGGTATCAAATTCCTCCTTGGATCCATGGACTCAGTTTCCTCTCCAATTGAGATGTTTTTCTTCCCCTTTGTTGGGGGAGGCCATCAAATCCCCATGATCGACATGGCCAGGATGTTCGCATCTCACGGTGTCATATCGACCGTCATTTCGACCCCTAAATACGCACCCTCGTTCCGGGAATCCATCGTCCGAGACCAACGATCCGGTCATTCGATATCCATCGAGATCCTCTGTTCAACAGACGCCGCCGATATATCGGATGCCAACATGTCAGCCACTCCCGTGACCGATACTTCAATGCTCGAAGTACCATTGAAGAAGTTGTTACTTCAACGCAGACCGGACTGCATAGTCCACGACATGTTCCACCATTGGGCTGCGGATGCTATCGACAACCTTGAATTGGATGTCCCAAGGATTGTGTTCAACGGAAACGGCTGCTTCGCGAGCTGCGTTCGAGAAAATGTATCGAGTTTCAAGCCTCACGAGACGGTCAATTCGAAATATGAACCGTTCGTCGTGCCCGGTCTCGTCGATAGGATCGAGTTGACTCGATCTCAGCTTCCAGCATTCCCATTTGTAGCGGATATTATGCAGAAATCTAAGGAGAATTGCTATGGGGTCGTGGTTAATAGCTTCTACGAACTTGAACCAGCTTATGTAGAACAATTCAAGGAACATAACAAAGCGTGGATCGTAGGGCCTGTGTCGTTGTACAACCAGAACATCGCCGATAAAGCCGATCGAGGCAAAAAGGCCGCCATCGATGAACAAAGCATCCTCAACTGGCTTAATTCTAAACCATCGAATTCAGTTCTTTTTATCAGTTTCGGAAGCGTTTCTCGTTTAGCCCAAGAACAGATCAACGAGATCGCTCACGGCCTACAAGCTTCGAACCAGCCATTTATCTGGGTGATTCGAGACGTGTTCAGAGGTGAAAGAACTGAGTTTTTTAGCGGATTTGAAGAGAAAATGAAGGAATCGAAGCAGGGTCTGATAATCAACGGTTGGGCGCCGCAGTTGTTGATCCTTGAACACGGCTCGGTCGGCGGTTTCATGACGCATTGCGGGTGGAATTCGACTCTGGAAGGAGTCACTTGCGGCGTTCCAATGATCACATGGCCGATATCGGCGGAGCAGTTCTATAACGAGAAGCTGGTCACCGATGTGTTAAAGATTGGTGTTCGGGTGGGGAGCTTGGACTGGCTTTCGTGGAACGTGGAGCCTCGGGCATCGGTGGGGAGAGATGCGGTGGAGGCGGCGGTGAAGCGGCTGATGGGTGGCGGACGAGAGGGTGCTGAGATGAGGAATAAAGCGAGAGTGATCGGAGAAATGGCTAAGAAAGCCGTGGAAGGAGGTGGATCATCGTATGAGAATGCCGTTGCCTTGATTAATGAGCTCAAGGATCGACGTAGAATGAATGGACGACATTAAATATGCTGCCCGAACAATATTACTTATCCTTTATGCGAATTTAACCAAATAATAGTAGGAAAAAAAAGTAAAATATGTTTAAATGACTAAAGAGTATTATTTTATTAAATAGATTGACTATTAAAAATTATAAAATATTGAAAAAATAATTTCAGTGATCGAAAATGTCTTATAATATACGATTTTGATTAACTTTTTTTCGATTTACCAAAATGACCAACAAAATCGTAATGCGATCTCTGAATCGCAACGCGATCTCCAGTATCGCAAATCAGTTTCAAGATTAAAATCGCAATGAGAATATGTAAATCGCAACGCGATAATACAAAATCGTAATGTGATTTTTTAAATTTACGTTAGTCCAAATTCGTTGCGGTAGTCCATTCACGTTGCGATAGTCAAAGTTCGCGTTGCGATTTTCCAAAATCGTAACGACTGGTGGTATTGCATTTGTTTCTTAAGAATTTTCTCTAAAAAGATAGTATCCACGCGGACGTGTCGAAGACACGTATTACCACGACCACGACTACGACCCGAGACAGGACGGCGGCGGTGCACGAGAGTCCCCCTTGCTCTCTTCCGCTCAACAAGGAAGTGGGAAATCTAAGCCTTAAATACTCATTCCTAACAGTGTTTCCAATACTACGTGGGATTGAGCATTACAAACACCTATCGCAACACATTCTTTATTGTTTCAAACTAAGATCTTACAAATGGCTTGAGAATCTTTTACACTATCGCAACACTTTTTCACTATCGCAACAACACGTTTTTCAAACTCTCGCAACACATTTTAACTATCGCAACGCATTTTTCAAAATCACGTTGCGAATTTGGAAATTGAGTTGAAAAATTAGAGTTCGTGTTGCGATTTTATTGGTCATTTTGACAAATCCAAAAAAAGTTAGTTAAAATCGTATATTATAAGGCATTTTCGGTCACTGATGTTATTTTCTCTAAAATATTTTAAGATTATATAGTTTTTTTTTATTAAGTCATTTATTAAAAGTTATAAAATGGTCATTTGACTAATCATTTTATTCCAAATTCATTATTTTCTGTTAAAAAACGGTGATTGTCTAAACTAGATGTTAACATGATGACTGAGAAATGATAGTCGTTTGAGATTATGAGATCATATTTTATTATATAACAATCAGCTTGCTAATATTTAGTTCAAAATACCGTCAATTTTTTAATGGAGAATTACAAGTTTGGAACTCAATTAATAGTCAGATGATCATTTTGTAACTTTTAATAGTTGAAGGACTCAACACAGTAACACTCTATAGTCAGAAGATCATTTTATAACTTTTAATAGTCTAGAAACTTATTAAAATAATATCCTATAGTCGGAGGATCATTTGTGTATTTTACCCAAAAAGGATATTATAATAAAAAAGAGTAAATTATAAAAGGGTAAACTAAGCATTCAGTACCTAACCTATTAGTTTTGGTCCGTTTTAGTACCTAAACTTTCATTTTTTCCAAAATCATACCTAACGTTTAGTTTTTGTTTCATTTTAGTTACCCGCCGTTAAAAACTTAATCGCAATTAGTACGTAAACTATCAATTTTGGTCCGTTTTAGTACCTAAACTTTCAATTTTTTCAAAACCACACCTAACGTTTAGTTTTTGTTTCATTTTTAGTACCCGCTGTTAAAACCTTAACGTGTTTAGTACCCAAACTATCAAATTCGATCCACTTTAGTACCTAAACTTTTAATTTTTTTTCAAAACTTGATGTTAAATTTTGAACTGGGAACAAAAATAAAACAAAAACTAAACTTTAGATATAGTTTTGAAAAAAAACTGAACGTTTAGGTATTAAAATGAACCAAAATTGATAGTTTGGGTTCTAAATACGTGATTTACCCATTATAAGATTTAGTCACTCAACTTTCCTCCTACTTCCATTTTAATCATTAAAATTTTTTTAAAAAATTATTTAATTTATTAAACTTTTGGTTTATTCATATTTTGATCCTCTGCTATTAAATACTTAACGTTATTATAATTAAATTTTTTAAGAATATGAAATGATCCCAAATTGTTTCTTTACTTTTTGTAGAAAAAAAACTCATAATTTCAAATTCCATTTGATTTTTTTATTATTAAACATCTTCCAAATCCCGACAGTAGATAGGTTGAGAATGAATATATTTTGATTTTAAATTGATCGAATGATGAATATTATAGATCATAATGATTTGGTGTTTATCAATTTTGAGTTTTAAAGTAAATTTGATAAAATCTAAATTAATAAAGTTGTATGAGATAATGGAATGAATCCGTCGGTATTTTGAATGGTCAAAAAAAATCAACGAATAACAATTACGTAGTCATAAATTATAACTTTCATCTTTAAAGAAACCATAACTTCTTCCCCTTTTTTTTTTGTCATTTTTTATGAACTAATTTTTGTAAGTATTTATCATTATAAATCCAAAACTTTGTTTCTTTTCACAATCGATTTTCCCAAATATTTTTGTTTGTTTGCATTCCATCCCAGAATTCCAAAATTCAAGTCCAACAAAAAACATATATATATATATATATATATATATTTCAATACATTCTCCAAGCACGATGAGGAGCAGGGAAGAGTTACAAAGAAAGTTCAAGAAGTACATATCAAGGCCGAGGAGCAAAGCAGAGCTACATAGCAAGTTCCGGCACTACATGTCGAAGCCGGTCCAACCAGTAGACAAGGCCAGAGATTTTTACGTCAAAAGCTTGGAGGATTGCGCTAGTAAGGTCGGTGGCCACGACGGCCTACTCGGTTGCCCCGCACCGCAAGTTTCGCGGCTGCCCAAGAACTTCAACTTCAACTATTCCAAATCGAACAACGACGAGAAGTTCATGAAATTCCTGGAGACCATGTCGAAGAAGAGATCGATGGAGTCGGATTTGCAGGTGTGAGAGATCGGTGCGGTGGGTTTAATAGAAGTTATAGTACCGTCGCCGGCCTGAGCCGGATTGACGAGGACGAGTGCTACTTCGAAGAAGAAGATGCGGTGTACCCTAGAAGCAGAAGCTGTGCATACAAGAGATGCTCTTATTATTGAAGATTGAAGCACAAGAAATGTTAAAAATTGAAGCATTATTGTGAATTTAAATCTTTTATTAATTACATTATTTATATAATTCTTTTATAAACATTTGGATATTGTGTAGAGGGTTTTAAAAAACGGTCTGCGACCGTGATTTCGGTCACGATATAGCGGTTTCGTCGCCGTCCGAGTTACCCGCGATGGCCGCAATAGCGTCCGCGACGACCGTAATAGCGCCCACGACGGACGCAATTACGGTAAATTCGAAATAACCAAAAACGCGACCGCGACCGTGATTTGAAACCCTGATTGTGTATTGTAAAATGACATTAATTTAAGAGGGTTATATACTACAGAGTTGATTTAAGTGATAAGTAGTTTGATATCGTTTAAGTAAGGTATTGAGTTCGAGTCTTTGTATATGTAGAAAATATTCAGTCCAGATTAGTCAAGGCAAAGCCTTAGAATATGGAGGACAAAAAAATTAAATTATACACATAATGTGATATGTATATATTGAATTTTTGTTCATTTGAATTTGATCTAAAAATACAACTTCTCGTAATTAATCTAATTCGAATTTAAGAGAATTTCATCTGATTTAAATATCGACCGAACTTAAATTTTTAGAATATAAAAAATCTAAATCGATTAGGTCGGGATAAATCAAAATCCCTTCTATACATGGACACATACTTTTCATAACGTAGTAAAGATGTTTCAAAGTTCACACAATTAATACTTAAATTATCAATTTTGGTTTGTTTTAGTATATAAATTTTTTATTTTTTTTCAAAATCATACATAATGTTTAACTTTTGTTTCGTTTTAGTATTTTACTGTTAAAAACTTAACATGTTTAGCACCTAAGTTATCAGTTTTGATCTGTATTATTATACCTAAACTTTCAATTTGTTTCAAAACTTAACGTTAAATTTTAATAAATGTCTTAAAATGAAACAAAACTAAACGTTAGATATAATTTTTAAAAAATTAAAAATTAAATACTAAACATATCAAACTAATAGTTTAAGTACCGTGAGCCATAAGACTCAGTTCTCATTATGAAATTGTAAAATTCCGTAAGCAAGCATGGTCCTCACAGGGCATCCAATAAGATGTACAGATGCACCTCGTGCAGTGAATTTTAGGTCTGGGTGTATAATTTCTATATGATGCAAGAGACCACATGGTCTCCACATAGGGATTGGTATGAGCGGGATCTGGTTTTCGGCTAACTTAATCCGACTAAAAAATTTATACCAATACACGAAACTCGATCTGACTCGATCTAACTTAAGTTTAAGATAATTTCACTCGATTCGAAACCTGATCTGATTTTTAGATAAAACCCAATTTAGACCTGACCCAACTTGAAATAAACAAATTATTATTTTATTCAATAAAGGGACTTGATTGGAAAAAATATAGGGCTATTATTGAAATTGTCCCTAAATATAAGTATAATTATATGATTTTTCGGGTCAGGTCAGGTTGGGTATTTTCTCCCTGAACCCGACACGACCCAACTTATTCTCTAAAAAACTCGACCTGAACTTATTTAAAAAAAACTCAACTTAAGTAGATCGATCAAATCGAAACCCATCAAATTTAAATTCGTGCCCACCTATATTTCCACCAAACAAAATAATGGTTAAAACCTTCACCAACTTATGATGCTTCATCAACATTTTTCACTGAATATATAGCCTAGGTGAAGCCCACATTGTTTTAGGGATGAAAGTTTCCTAGCCTTGCACATACATAAGAGATTTGTTCATTTTTTAGTATAACTACATGTATTTAATTTATTAATTGATTAATTTAAATTGAATATTATAGATATTTTTATTAAGATGACTTCCTAATTCGATTTACTTCAATCACAACGTCTAAATGTATAACTCTAACCTCATTTTAAAATTTAATAACTTTCCTATATAAACTTTTTTATATTTAAAT